TGGACACAAAGTGTTCAAAACATAGGGGAAATGTGACAAAAAGATAGGGGATTATTAGGCTAACAAAGAGCTAAATTTCTTCTTCAGCTCTAAAGTTCCTGATTCAACAATGATAAATGAAGTATGATGTTATATTACTGTGTTATATTATCAAATAACATGAGGATTTTATAAGGGGATGTCTGTAATTTAATAAGACAAATGGTGAAAATGCCCAAGCAAAATTGGAGAGCCAGATTTTTTTTTTTTTTTTGGTACCAGGGATTGAACCCAGGGGTGCTTATCCACTGAGCAACAGACCTTTTTATTTTTTTGGAGGGGTACTGGGGATTGAACGCAGGGGTGCCGATCCACAGAGCCACATCTCTGAAAGAATTCCCCATGCAAAGACACTTCGCCGGGAGAATTCCAATTTTATTGCAAAAAGCTGTGTGCTTATATAGAACTAAGGGGGAGATGGCAGGGCTTAGATAAATGGCAGGCAACCCGTTTATTGGCAAGTTCTTTCAGATATCAGCTCCGGAGCCCAGGAATTAGTTCTCACTGGGGCTAAGGTTCCCCGCCAGCGAGATTTGAAATTGGCGCTGGCGGGAGAGTTCACACAGGCGGGAACTTTTCGCGCCACTACAGAAAAGAAGAAGGTAGGAAGAAGAAGTCCTTAGGCGCCATGTTGGGGTTTTTCTCTGGGGTATGGCTGCCGTTTATACTTTTCCCAACAATCTCCAGTCCTATTTTTGTATTTTATTTAGAAACAAGTTCTCCCTGAGTTTCTTAGTGCCTCGCTTTTGCTGAGGCTGGCTTTAAACTCTCGATCCTCCTGTCTCAGCCTCCTGAGCCGCTGGGATTACAGGTGTGCTTGCTAAGTAGTTTAGGGCCTCAATAAATTGCTAAGGCTGGCCTTGAATTTGAGATCCTCCTGCCTCAGCTCCTGAGCCTCTGGAATTATAGGCATGTGCCAACACACCCAGCTCTTTTGTTGTTGTTGTTGAGAGAGACCCATAGAAAAGATTGGCCCTGTGGCCCTCCTCCCCCAGGCCAGAGCCCAGTGCAGCCTTGGGAACATCCACCACTATTTTCAAACCATAGTAGGCAGTACACTTTGATAGTTAATGCCTTTGCTAACCTGAGAGCAGGCAGCACACCATCCCAGAATTTGCCCTCAGAGGGTTTCAGAGATCTCATGTTTTGAAGAGAGTCTTCTTAAATCTTTTCCTCGGAGACTGCAGCTTGTCACCCTTACCTTCTACTAGTTTTATTTAATTTTTAAATATTTATTATTTAAATTTTTCTGGATATCTTTAATTTCCATTTATAAATCTCATGTAGTTACCTCCAACTGAACCTAAATCACATCCAGGACTCTGGCTGCAAGGTATGCTAGAAAATGTAGTTTTTAGCCTTCCATACTCTATGGAACAGGAAGAGACACAAGGTTGGTGTAAATATTAAGTTATTTTATATTATCTACTATACAGGGTGGCAGTTTAAAAGCAAGGTTTTCTCATATTAGGAGTAATATCAATAATGTTTATAGGCAACGAAAGATACAAAGCAGGTGGAGATTTGACATGAGGGAGGGAGGGAGGGAGGAAGAGAGAGAGAGAGAAATAATCAATAGAGCACAGTATAAAAAGGAAGGAAAAGGATTAGGTCAACAGAGAGACTCAGTCTTGTAAATGAGGAGGGGAACCTGTGCCTCCAAAATAACAAATAAGGAGTCACAGAAGTGTTGAAGTAAAACAAAGTGGAGTTCTGCTGGATGACCCCAACATTTTCAGTGAAACAAGAGGCAAAGCCATCTGCTACCAGTGAGCAGGGAGGTTCTAAGGGCTTCGGTGTAGGAAGGATTAGAAAGATGGAAAATGAATTGAGAGTTTGTGACAGATAAGTGAGAGAAAAGAGCCCCAGGGGCTCAGATAATATAGGATGTTAGGTGCAGGACAGGCTGAACTAAGTTGTCTGCAGGGCAGGCTGTTAGCTGCAGGATAACCCACGCACCCCAACCCCCCTCTGTCTGGTCCTTTATCACCTGTTTGTGTCAAGTCTGAACACTCAACCCCACTCAAGGCTGAACACTTGACCCCTACCGGTCTGGTACAACAGAAACCCACATCTGACCCCTGCCCCATCTACCTGAAGGCAGAAGATGACACCCTTAGCAACTATTGTGTGATCCAATCACTGTATGCCAACAAGGCAGCTTGCAGACCCAGAGACCCCATTAGATTTGGGCTATAAAAACTCCCTCCTGAGCTGGGATTGTGGCTCAGCGTTAGAACGCTCCCCTAGCACAGGCGGGACCCGGTTCGATCTTCAGCACCACATAAAAATAAAGGCATTATGTTGTGTCCATCTACACCTAAAAAATAAATATTAAAAAAAAATACTCATTAAAATAAAAAAAAAAAAACTCCCTCCTGCCGGGACCCTCGCTCTTGCTCTGTCTCCCTCTCTTGCTTTTGCTCTCTCTTTATTCTCTCTGTCTCTGTCTCTCTCTCTCTTTCTCCTCTTTTGCACTGCTGCAATAAAGATCTCTCGGTTGCCCCAAGTGTTGTGGTCATTTTCCTTTCATAGGATATGTGCATTTTTTTGTGTGGATTGAATTATTTAATAAAAAACTGAAATTTGGGGATTTTTGCCAGTCTCCCATCTAAACTGATAAGGCTGAATGGATGCCTACACCAAAGATGGCTACAGCCTGGAACATTACTGACATTACTTACAGAGATAAACTCAAAATGGATTGAAGACCTACCAGAAAGAGCTAGAAACTTGGTAGAAGAAAAATATAGAAAAATATCTTTGTGACTTTAAAGTGGAAAAGTATTAAATAAAACCCTAAAAGCACAAAGTAAAATTGCAATAAGAAATTTGATTATATCAAATTTAAAAAAAGCACACCAATGATAAAGTTAAGATAAACTGAGAGGGAAAATGTGTGCTAAAACCAATTAAAGACTAATAGAATATATTATGTACCTTTGTAAGTCAATAGTAACAAAAAGGAAGACTATCAATAGGAAAAAAAGAAATGGGCAAAGGATATAAATGAACAACTTGCAAATAAGGAAATTCAACCAGCTACCAACTGTTGAAAAGGTGTGCAAACTCATTGTCAGGGAAATGCAAATTAAAACAATGAGCAATCACTTCACACCCATTAGACAAGCAAAGTTTAGAAAGCTGGATAATAAACCAGGGCAGAGGCACACGCCTGTAAATTCCAGTGATTCTGAAGGCTGAGGTAAGAGGATAGCAAATTCAAGGTGTGCCTCAGTGATTTAGCTAAGCCCTAAGCAATTTAGCAAGAACCCTGTCTCAAAATAAAAAATAAAATTAAGGGCTGGGAATGTGGCTCAGAGTAAAGTGCCCCGGGGTCCAATCTCCAGTCAAAAAAAAAAAAAAAAAAAAAAAAAAGAGGAAGAGGATAAGGGGAAGAAACTAAAACTAATATAAGGTGTTGGAGAGAATACAGGGACATAAGTCTATGGAATGGGGAACATATAAAGAAATGGAGAACTGTTCTCACCACAAAGCTTCATTTCCAGGTGCACAGTCCTTCCTCGGGTTTTAAATCTAACACCCTAGCAAACTGAACAGAGCAGGGGAACTTCATCAGACTTCCTCAGGCTCTCCGCTTGTCAGTTCCATCACTATCTTTAGCCCTATCCTACATCGCAGGGTTGATTTGGCAGAGATTTGTTAGGGAATAGGATGCTATAAGAGGAAAAAACTTTTTATCCTATTCACATACCCAATACAGAAGAGTTCTCTGACCAATTTTGTGGCGGTTTTCTCCACACCAAGCAATTTGGCAGTGGACACCAGATGGATGTTCCATAATTCAAACCAATTCTAAACCTATTCACATTAGATCCCAGAGGTTAAGGGCTCCATCCTACTGTTGCCAAAATCTTGGTCCTTATTCCCCATTCCAATCAAATAACAAGGACACAGTTTTGAGAAAAAGGAAAAAAGAAGGCTTATTGCTTTGCAGCAAAGGAGAAACACAGGGGACTCAACCACTGAGCCACATCCCCAGCCTCTTTATTTTCTATTTTGAGACAAAGTCTAGCTAACTTGCTTAGTGCCTCACTAAATTGCTGAGGCTGGCCTCCAACCTGGGATCCTCCTGCCTCAGCTTCCTGAGTCGTTGCAATTATAGGCTAACTGATTTTTTTGGGGGGTGGTGGTGGTGGTGATGGTGCTGGGGATTGAATCCATGACCTTGTGCATGCGAGGCACCACTCTAGCAACCGGGAGCTATATCCCCAGCCCACCATACTTTCTTATGGATTTTATCGTTAGGAAGAACTATCCTCATCTCCCAGTTTCAGGATCTGGTCACAAAAGTCTCTCCCTTGGGAGTAACTTGGATTCCTCCTATCAACATTATTTGGGGCCTGCATTATTTCTTCTGCAGTTAACAGGTAGTTTGCTGAAGAAACTGACATACCCTGTCCACTTAGGCTTGGCAGGTAAGTAGCTTCTTGGAAAACAAAGCATGTGGAGAAGGGGTAGCATAGTGGACCCATTTTATAGAATTATTCTCTTAATCTCATGTTCCCAATCATCCTTATCCGTCTGTCCGTCCCCTAGAAGGCCCCTGAAAACCTGTTAAATTATGTAGCCATACTCTTTTTATCAAAATAAAGTGAGCACAGTAGAGGTTCAAGGAAAAGGTCCAGTGAGGGACACACCTCATGGAAGGAAACCGGAGCCTGCAGAGGTTCCGGCTTTCAAATCAGGGATCAAAGAACAATTTCTGCCTACCCGGCGCTATGCCCTTTAACACGTGGAGGAAAGTGACGCATTCACCCTTTCATAGAACATCACAGCCCTCACAGAAAGGGTAGGAGCCTAGAAGAAGCCACAAGAACCAGAAGCACACACCCATCCACCCCGCGGGCGCCTCTTTGGAGTCCCCGCCCTCCACAAGCGCTTCCGGCCGAGAGGGGGCGCCCTCGTCCCAGCCGCGCCTGCGCAGGGAGGGTGGGTCATAGCGCCGGCGCACTGCGTCGGTCACAGGCTGGCTACTGCGGTGTGGTCCTCGTTTCCCTGAGTGTTTGACCGGGAGACAGGAAAATGGTGCTGGATCTGGATTTGTTTCGGGTGGATAAAGGAGGGGACCCAGCCCTCATCCGAGAGACTCAGGAGAAGCGCTTCAAGGACCCGGGTCTAGTAGATCAGCTGGTGAAGGCAGACAGCGAGTGGCGACGATGTAAGTACCGGGATGCGCAGGGTGTCCCCTTAATCATAAACCTAGTTCATCTCGCGAATCCAGTCCGCTCTGGAGATCACAGCTTCCACCTCTTGTCAGATTTCCTCCTGGGCATAGATGACTCCAGGGCTTTCCTATCCCCAAAACTCAGGCAGGTTTCTGGAGTCGTCCCACTTTCTCCTAGGCTCTGGTGGCGCAAGGTCCCTTCTGCGCGTGCTCAATGCTGACCGCTGCCAAAGCGGCTGGAAAGGAGCGCGGCGCATGCGCATCAAGAGCTGTCAAACCTCCCTGCTTCTCCGGTATCTAGAAGAAAGCTAGGGCGGGAGGTTTAGTGGAGGTTGTCCCTTTCCCTAATAGTTGTCTTTAGTTGCTTCCAGGATTTTTCTCATCTTTAGCAAGGGCAGAGTGGTCTCCTTATTTGATATTGCTCTATTGAGACAGAATCACATCTGCTGCACAATAGATTAGAATCAGAAGGATTGAGGACTTTGAAGGCCTTATGGCTAAAAGCAGTGATCGCAAAGCTTTGGGGAAGGTCATCCTTTAAGAATCATAAATCTTTTCCATGATATATCAGACAGAGGGAAAGGGTACCGTGATGCAAGAAAAAGCTTGTTATTATTGAGATTATGATTTGTGGAATTTTTCAGGAAAAGACATTGGCATAGTTGGGCAAGAATCTGGAACGATCAGGCATCTTTCATTAGAAATAAAACCATCAAATTGTGCTTAACAGTCTTTGCCTGGATTAAGTAGAGTGGTCATTGGTTGCCGGATGTCGTCAAGCACATGTGATTCATTTTGTCTGATGCAATAGGTCTGCAACCATCTGTAAGCCAGGCTTAGGACAACACACTGCAAAGGAAATGGCTATCCAAGAGTGTGATGGATTTCTACTAGGGAAATAGATTTTCATAAATTTATAAAGGTCTTGGGTATAAAACAAAGCATTTGTTTGAGCTGTCTGCTCATTCTGTATATATTAGGTACTATAATATGATAGTTTGAAATTCAACACTTGTATTTGAAGTTCTGAGTTGCAATGGAATTGAAATATGGACATATTTTTGTTTAGGGCTATTGTACTAAATCTGAAGTAAGGATATCAGATTTTTGCATCAGTCTAACCATTAATCAGCTGACTTTGGAATGTAGTAGCTGGTCTTTTGTGTATAACATGTACATCTGTGGGAAGTTTTGTCCATTATCTGACAAATAGATATATGGTGAGTTCTCTGGAGACAAAGATTGATTTTAATACATATAGGACACACTTATTTCAAAGGACCAGATCACAGCATCTTAAAGGCTTAATGGGTTTTATTTTTCAATTTTAGAATTAACAACATATCATTCTGTAACAGAGAGCAAATATCCCCATGAGCTGAGCAGAAGAGGTAGGTTTTATAGAGAAAGGCTGAAGAAAACAAAGAGCAAAGAGCAGATTGGTTATTTCAAAGTCATTTTCCCTGAAAAATGGGACGGAGAAAAATAGAAATTTAAATGATTGGATAACATTAGATTACTTCAGTTTACTTTTGTAAGGATTAAAGAATGTAAGAATTAAAAGCAGGGGAAATTTCATTGTCATGCTGATTGACACTAGGAAATTGGGCTCTTTCCTGATTTCTGGGAAGGTCAGCTAACAACTTAGTTTTAGTTTGTTGATGTGGAATGCTAGCATGGGTGACTACATTTTGATTTTTAGTCTTTCAGTTGGAGCCTGGTGCAGGAACCTAGTCCAATATAGTGACCTCCTGTAATTTTTATTTAACACATATATAAATATACACATAAACAGATAATACATATAATTCTAATACCTAGCTCTGTACCTGGTCCTCAGTAAGGGCTTGATAAAAGTTTGCCAGAAATAGGAAGATCTTCCATGTCCTTCGTACTTCCAACTGTATATGAAAGGCAGTTTATTTTCAGTGTATCTATTAATTTGATTCTTTTCTACTTGGTAGCCCTCTCCAATTTTATATCCAAAGGGAACTCATTATTTTACCAAATCCCTGGTTACCCAAGTTTGACATTGACAGATCTTGTATCAAGGTTCTTTTACATCTTGAACTTCAGATCAGTAGAATGGGTTCTTCTATCACTGGCTGCAGTGAGGACTTATAACCAGAGCCATGTGATGAGCTGAGATCATGCTTCCTGATGAGAACAAAGAAATCTTCCCCAAGCCCTCCATTACAACTATTTGCCTCCCTGTAGGCTTTCAGGTGCCCCTTCAGCTCCACAAAGAACACAGGAGTCGGCCATAATTTGGAGTCATAATGCCACCACACTGGAGTTTATCATAACTTTGTAACTCTAGGGATTTGAGCTGTGATTTCTGCTTTTAATTCAGAATAGTATAATGATCCCATGTTTGGGCCAGTTTGTCTTGGCTCTCCTCCCAAAGCCACCAGATTTCCATGTATTTCTTTTGTTGATCTGCGGTGTTAGGGATTGAACGCAAGACCTCTCCTTTTCCCTGTATCTTGAATTCTGCTGCTGACCACAGAATTCTGTCCCCCTCAAATGTGCTATCCTTTCTTTTTGCCATCAGTTGAAGTTGTTATTTCCTCTTAACCCCTACTATACATGCCTTAAGCCAGGCCCCTCTTCATGACTTGTCCCAGCCATTGAAGTAGTTCTGTTTTTACTTTTACCCTATTTCACCCAGTAACAGACCAAGCCCAGGGGCATCTGATCTTTCCAGAGTGCAAATCTACCTCTTCGAATTTGTAGTGGTACTCATACCTTACAGTAGCACTGATGGAATAAGATGTGAGCCACATTGTAATTCTACATGTGCTTGCAGTTTCTCTAAAAAACCAAGCACAGTGTGGTATGCCTGTAATCCCAGCCTGAGGCTGGAGGATTACAAGATCAAGGCCACCCGAGGCAATTTAGTGAAACCCTTTCTCAAAGGGCAAGGGATATAGCTCAGTGGTAGAGCATCCCTGGGTTCAATCCCCAGTATCAAAATATAAATAAGAAAAAAATATAAAGAGGAAAGAATGGAATTAATCTAATAATGTATTTTATTTAATGTAGGATTCCTGAAAATGGTATTTTCAACATGTAATCAATGTTAAAAATTTACAGAGATAGTTTACATTCTTTTTTTGAACACATCTTCAAAATACAATGTGTATTTTACATTTAAAGCACATTTCAGTTTGAGCTAGACACATTATAAATGCTCAAAGAGGGGGCTGCAGTTATAGCTCAGTGATAGAGTACCTCCCTAGCATATGTGAGGCACTGGGTTTGATCCTCACTACCACATAAAAATAAATAAAGTAAAGTTTAAAAAAAAATGCTCGAAGGGCACATGTGGCTAGAGGCTACCATGTTGGAAAATCTAAATATTTATTTTTTAGTACTGGGGATTGAACTTGAGACACTCTGACACTTTACCACAAAACTACATCCCCAGACTTTTTTTTTTTTTTTTTTTAAGATAAGGTCTTGGGATGGGGATGTGGCTCAAGCGGTAGCGTGCTCGCGGGGCGCTGGGTTCGATCCTCAGCACCACATAAAAATAAAGATGTTGTGTCCGCCGAGAACTAAAGAATAAATATTGAAAAATTCTCTCTCTGAAAAAAAAAAGATAAGGTCTTGCTCAGTTGCTAGGGCTGGCCTCAAACTTGCAATCCTCCTACCTCAGCCTCCAAAGTTGCTCAGATTATAGGTGTGTGTCACTATGTCCAGCTTAAAAATCCAAATTTTTAAACACAATTTATAAAACCCCCTGTGCCTTGCTAGCCTCATCTTCCATCACTTTCCCACAGATGGCCTCCCATTCTATGCTCTAGCCTGTTTTACTACTGCTGTCCCCTTCCACTCTCTATGACTGTTGCCTCTTCCTGTAATAGTCCTAGCCTTACTTTCATTGCCCTCTTTGCCACCCAACCCTATTTCAATGGCACAACATCATTTATTCAATATTCTCCATATATTATTTTATATCTCCATAGCATTTATAGTATTTTTATATATACCCTTTCTAAACCTTTTTTTTTTTTTTTTTTTGTAGTTTTAGGGATTGAATTTAGGGCATTCTACCATTGAGCTACATCCCCAGTCCTTTTTTGAGTTTTGTTTTGAGATAGGGTTTTGCCAATTTGCCCAGGCTGACCAGAACTTGAGATCCTTCTGCTTCATCTCCCAAGTAGTTAAGATTACCTTTATTTTTTTTCTTTTGATACTGGGGATTGACCCTAGAGTCATTCTATCACTGAGCTATTTTCTTGGCCCTTTTTAATTTTATTTTGAGACAGGATCTCACTAAGTTACCAAGGTTGACCTCCAACTTGCAATCCTGGCTTGGCCTCCCAAGTTACTGGTATTACAGATGTGTGCCACTGCACCTGATTTCTGAACTTACTTTATGGGGATGTAATATATTTAATAAAGTACAGCCTAATAAATTTGGAACTCTGTATGCCCATGCTGCTATCACCCAGATCAAGTTCTAAGACACTTGTAGTACCAGATTAGGCTCCTACATATTCCCTCCCAGTCAATCCTTCTTCCAAAGATAACAGTATTCTGACCTCTATTACCATAAGTACTTTTGCCTGATTTTGAACTTCAGATAACTGGGCTTATATAGATTATGACTTCTTTCCTTCAAAAAACATGTGTAGCACTTGGTGGTTCTTTTTATTGCTGTATAGTAAGTACTCTATTCTATAAACATTTCAGTGTCAATCACCTCAAATACTATCATTTTTTCTGGTGAGAATATTTATTTATTTATGATCCTGGGGATAAGAACACCAGAGGTTCCATACCATATAATTTGAGGCAAGAAACCAGATTAGGATAGAAGAAATAAAACTACTTTTATTTGCAGATGATTAGTTGTGTATGTACAATATGAACTATTAAATCAGGCACAGTGGTGCATGCCTGTAATGCCAGCTACTCTGGAGGCTGACGCAGGAAGATTACAAGGTCGAGGCCAGCCAGCAGCTTAGTGAGACTCTGTCTCAAAATAAATAAAAAGGACTGGGGTGTGCCTCTGTGGTAAAGCACCCCTAGATTCAGTTCCCAGTGCTGAAAACAAAAACAAAACCAAGGTGGGGGTGCTGGGAATATAGCACAAGGTAGAGTGCCCTTGGGTTCAATCCCCAGTGCCAGACACTCAAAAAAGAAAGTAAGGGCATTCAAAACTATAAAAATACTGCTGAGAGAAATTAAAGATAATGAAGGAATATACTATACTCACTGTTTAAAACATTTAGCATTGTTAAAATATCGGTTTTTAATTGTATAGTTTTCCTTTATATTCCCAACACCTAGCATAGTGTTATCTTATTTTCTTTCCTAGTCCTAACACGGAGCATGGTACTTTGGCAAATAGAAAGTAGTAAATAATTGTAAATATTTTATTTCAAAATAATTATAGATTCACAAAAAAATTGCAAAAATAGTACAAAGAAATTCTGTGTACCCTATACCCAGTTTCCCCTAGTGATAAAATTCCTATTACTACTACAGTATCAAAACCAAGAAATTGACATTGCTACATCCACAAACCTTACTCAGTTTACATCACTTGTGTGTGTGCCTATGTATATATTTCTGTGTGATTTTATCATGTGTAGATTTGTGTGACCACCACCACACTCAGGCTATAGAACTCTTCTATCACCACAGAGATCTTGTTATCCCTTTCTAGTACATTGCCTTTCTCCTCTTTCTAACCCCTAACAATTACTGACCTGTTCTCCATCTCTGTTTTTCAATGTGAATGAGAAAATACAAGTATCATTTTGTGTAAAGCTTAGTTAAATTTACACCAAAGAGAGATGCTTATTGATAAAGCCTTAAATATATGTGCTATCTCATGTCCAGTCATCAGTTTTTCAAAAGCTTGACTTTTTTTTTTTTTTTTAAAAAAACCACATTGCCTCAAATGCTTAGATACAAGACATCCAACATTTATAATCAGAGTGAGACTGGTGAACCACAATAGCAAGATGTTAATTTTGGCTACTATCTTGGCTGATTAACACACCATCTTCTCCAAAAGAAACCAGATTATAAGAAAGGCTACAAGATGAGCATTATATCAGAGCAAAGGAAATAATATTGACCATTTGTAGAGATATAGTGACCAATTCATGGTAACAGGAATGATTGCCCTCTTTCTAGATTTGAGTGCATAGCAAGCACATAGTTTCTTTAAATGAATTTTAAGATAATTGGGCATGTTACA